AAAAAAAAGCGGAAGACAAGCCAGAAGAGAGCAACAAAATAAGAAGACAAAGAAGAGAGTAGAGCAAAAAAAGAGGCAGCCAAAGAAAAAGTTTTTACTGTTTTAACCTCCAGTCAAGGACCTCTCCAGGCATTGTCCTTGGTAGACCCCCAGTGCTGTTGGTGGCCTCTTAACACACTTCATTAATCAAATGCCAAAAGGCAGCAACAGCCACAGCCACAGCCACAGAAGCTCTCGCTCTCTCTCTCTCTCTGTCTGTCTCTCTCCCCCTCGCTCTTAGCCATAATAAAATAGAAGGTGCAACAAGCAATCCAGACGAATTCGTCGCGGCGAATATGGCCCGGCCAGATTCTGTTCTGGCTCTCTCTCTTGCTTGACAAAGCTCCACCCCAAGCACACGAAAGCGCAGACGCAACAGAGAGAGAGATAGAGAGAGTGAGAGAGAGAGAGTGTGAGAGAGGTGCTGCTGCTGCTACTTCTGCTGCTCTTGCTGTGGCGACGACAGCAAGCTAGCGTTTCACGATGACAAACGAATGACAGACAAACTCTCTCCTCGTTCTTCACGCTGTGGGGTTGGGTGGGGGGCAGAGAGAGAGAGATAATAACAAAGAGATAAGGGAGACGACAGCAGAAGGCCAAAAGCAGCGATGGTGGCTCCCATTGAATGCCCGCCAGTCAGAAGCGTTCGTTCGGTCGTTCGTTCGTTCGTTCTCCCCCTGCCGCCTGCCGCCTGCCGCCTGCCCCCTGCCACCCATCGATGGCTGGTGCGCGTGTGTGAGAGAACTGTTGCATGTGTAAGTGCACAGTGGGGCAGAGGCAGGGCAGATGATGATGTAGCTTTGTGGGGGCTGTATGGTGTGGGACAGTGGATGGGTCGGGGGACACTGAATGTATCTGGGGGCTGGACGGTGACAGTGGCTGGGTGGGGATAAGTGGGGGTGCCTGTGACTGTTGGGGAGTGTAGAGAGTTTGGTCTGGTGGCTGCCTTGGGGAGGGTATTTCTGCTGCACGATTACCTTATACTGGAAATTGCATCTCTCGTATATAAAATTAATGTTTCTCCTACTCTCTCCCTCTCCATCTTCCTCTCTCTCTGTCTCCCCTTACATACACAATTTAATATATTTTTTTGAGAGTGTTTGTAATTTCCTGATAATTAAATGAACGCCTGAAATTATTTCATTTTGCTCTGGACTCCGTTCTACACTTTCATTACTCCTCTGCGGAGTGAGGGGGTGGTGGCTGTGTCCTCTGTGTCTGGCCGGTCAGGGAAATTAATGGGGAAACTCTTAGGTTGGATAATGAAAATGGCTTCTCACGATACCATGCCTCTTTGAGTGTGTGTGTTTAAGCTCTTAATTAGGGAAATTAAATTTGGTTAATTTTGGTCAGAGCATGGGTAAAAAGAATAAATCGAAATGAACTACCTTTAGCTGATTTTCTGTCAGACTTGAGCCAAGGAGTGCAAAGAATAACTCTCCAAGTGGGAAGAAAATCCCTGTAAATAAAAGAAAATAAATAAGTAAATAAATGTGTGTACATTCCATATGTGAAAATAGAAGCTAGCCAGAGCCCCCACTCTTATCACCATCCGTAACCCTCTCTCACACATTCTCCAGCCATGAGAACGGTTGTTGATTATCTTCTCATTTTTCGCACACAGAACATTATTTAATTTCCTTTCGCGGAAGCTCTCTTATTGAAATCTATGCAGATGTCAGAGTATTATTTTTAGCCCACATTTCACCCTATATGTATATGCTATATGCGATTGGCCTTGAATTCTGTGGGAAATATCTCAAAAGTTATGGCTTCTATATATACATAGAGAAACCTATATTCCCGCCACAAGATCAAGTGCGACTATAAATAGAACACTACCCACTCCCCCCACCAGTGGCACGCCCCTCTTCTAGCCATAGTTTATTCGTGTGTGGCGCCCCAATGACGTGCATAGAGTTAGATAAACAACCAATAAGAACTGCAATTAATACGCCACATTGCCGCATTTGGATGCCAAGATCCATCCGTTTTGGCCAATTATACGTTCCATAAAGCTGACCCAAAACGGCTACAGAAACTACACCAGAAACTACGAGCCGCAGCCGCAGCCATCATAAAAGACTGAAAAATCTTCGCATATTTTACGAGATGGAACAAAAACAAATGTATTTCCCTCGGTTGACTTACTTTTATTATGAGTTTTGCACCCACTCGCATGGGCTGTGGGGCCCCTCGTCGCTGCCTCTCTCCCCCACGCCGCCCCACTGTACTTTCCAGTGGTCTGGTAATAAGGAAAAAATGCGAGCAATGCGCTGGAATTGGAACGCAACTAAAGGCGAAAATATTATGCAGACTGGTCGGAGAGAGGAGAGGAGTGGAGCGGAGGGTGGGCACAGGTAGTAGGATCTAGGGGATGAGGTTGAAGTTACGTCTGGAGCTGGGAGTCGGGAGTGGGTGGGGTGGGATGGGGTGGCAGTCAGCAGTCAGCATGAATAATTAATGTAAGCAAAATATTGATTGCATGTACTTGAAAAGAGTTTCCAGACCGACAGCCAGGCTGACGACGACCACGACCACGACGACGACGACAACGTCCGACATTGTCGGGCCTATGACAAACGACTGACACGCGGACTGAGCAGTGCGACAAATGCACCACCACCCCCACCCCCATTCGATTCATATCCCACTCCCCCACAGAGCGCGCTCTTGACTTCTGGCCACTTGACGGGGTGTGGCGGCGGCCCTTTCCTGATGGCCATTTGCCTGCCCATTGGTCAGAGGGTGGTCCTATGTGGGGGGCGGGGGCGAAGGGGCACAACAGTGTGGGTGTTGCATAAATTTCGCCTCTGTGGAGAACAGAGTAGTTGGCATGTGCATGGCCTGTTGGGCTTTAATAACGGCCATATAGATAGATGACTTTGATAGCAAGGTTAAGCGAAGGACTTTTCGCCGACTTCCAGAGGGGAGCGATTGTTCTCAGGCGATGGCAGAGGAGACAGGGTATCGTATCTATACAATGTTGGGCAAACTGCTAGTTCGAATTACTGAAACGACTTTTTAAGGCGATGGGAGGCAGGCAGAATATCAGGGTATTTGGAATGAAAATTTGGATTTATTTTAGGTTGAATTTAAGTACGGAAAAAATCTGCAGATCAAACAGAAAAGATCGTCAGAATTAGGATTCGATTTTGATTTTGTATACAATTTTTTGGAATATATTCTTGAAGGTATTAAATCTTTTCTTAAACATTAAATTAATGCTCCACTAGCTAATAGTCTACAAAGGCTCTTTGGATACCGAACAGATAATTATTGCTGGTCGCAGAGGCCGTGGGACCGTTTCCTACGAGTATCAGTCTTCCGCAATCTTTGCAACGTTTTTAGTGCCTGAAACATTGTCATTCCCCACAGTAAGCCCCGGAAGAATAATCCCCAATGACACCCCAAGCTGTCCACCAACCCCAGACACTGCTGCGCCCGCCTGCTGGCCCCACATTCCATCCTGGTCAATGCCTATTGGATGGGCAGTCCTCGAGCTCTCTTATTTGGAGCCGCGAGCCGTGTCTCCCTGCAGAAGGCTGGAAACTGAAATGGGGAAGGGTGGATGGTGGATGGTGGAGGGGGAACTGGGAAACTTGCGTGACTTCATTTGCATGAATTACGTTGCGTTTTTTGTGCCGTTGCTGGAGTTGTCGTTAGTGTCCTTTCGCTGCCCGCACCCATACAGATACACCCCACCAACACGTGCCTCAGGCCTCAGGCCACAGTCCTCAGGCCTAAGTCCTCAGGTGCACCTGTGTGTGCGGCGTGTGGTTGGCTGGTGGTTGGGCTTAGCTGGGTCCAGGGTTTTTTTGGGTGCTCCACTCGTTCCTCCATAATTGCCACCCGCCTCCCTCGGCTACCGTCGCGTAGTCAGTCTCCGTTGAGCGCCGCGCTTTTTCTCCTGAAAGAAAAACTTTTTTCGTGCATATGAAAAAAGGAAAATAGAAAACAGTGGAACACTGTGGCTGGCTGGCTGGCTGGCTGGTGGACAGGTGGGTTAGAGGTGGGTTGGAGCTGGCTCTGGCTCTAGGTCTGGGAGAGAAAATAAAACTATAACGCGGCAGGCAACATCGCATAGACGAAATAGTCGGCATAGTCTCGCCGCTCCATTCCGTTCCGTTGTCGTCGTCAGTGTCGGCCCCGTCGTCGTCAGTCGCGTCTGAGGAGCTTCGACGGGCAGGTGTGTGCTAAGAAGAGTTCCAGTTCCAGTTCCCGTAGCGCTCTCTGCCACAGGCAGTGGCACGAGCAATAGCACGAGGCGAGGCAGCAATATAGTACGTGCAACAGTACGAGGCAGTAGTACGAAAAGTTCTTGCAGTTTGTGTGGAAAGTGGACTGTGTACCGTGTACTGTGCCGTGCCTTAAACTGTGTGTTTTTTTCTTGCCGCAGAGCACAGATCCCCCCAAACAACAACAACAACAACAACTCCATTCTGCCGTCGGAGTGGTCGGGGTCTTCGGCGTCGGAGTCGGAGTCGGAATCGGTATCGGAGACGAAATCGGAATCTTCGGAGTGCCATAAGTGTTTTTGTTTGATTTTTCTCGATACGCGTGTGCACAAAAAAAGAAAGAGGACCAGAACAAAAGGGAGAGCAAAACATTGCCAAGATTTTGTTGTTGTGTGGTTAACATTTTAAAGACCGGCCATCTCCACCCCCCAGAAACACCCCTCGCCACGATAAAATGCAAATGAAATTGTGTCGGTTGTCCACCCCGAACCCTGGACCCCAGCACCCTGGACCCTGTACCCTGCAGCCTGTAGCCTGCACCCTGGACTTTCCCGCACTTCCTTTGTGTGTTCTTGATTTGCAAAAGTGATTTCTAATTGTTTCGACTTCTAGAGTGAGCGAGCAAGAGTGAGTCAGCTAGAGAGAGTGAGAGAGAGAGTGCAAAGTGTGGGAAAGAGAGAGACGAGACGAGACCTACCTACCTACCTACACTCGATGTGAGCGAGCCCCTGGAGAGAGTATGTCAATGTCAATGGCCCATGTGGGCTTGAACTTAACTCAAAAGGATTTCATTTCGCTTGGTGTTCGATTTGTGGCCATGGATATGCAACAACTTTAGATTAATGACGTCCCTGCTGGAGATTATCATGCGATCCAAAGCGATTGCTAGGAAATATAATCAGGGTGAGTATGATTAGAGCGTGGATCACAGATGAGCATGGGTAGGTAGTACTTAGGTCACTGATACTACCTGTAGCCCAGCCCCAGTACTACAAGCAGATTCCCGTATTAAGCCGCCTATTAAATTCAGTTAAATATTGGAACAGTTCTGCCATTCTGCTGGGGTATGGAAGAGTCACTCACTTATGCACTCGTAATAATTCCTAGCTGTGTATAGCTTATACTTTCTTCTGCTCCCACAAACAAAGGAATTTCTCAAAAATAATCATACAAAAATGTATTTTTTATTAAGCCTCAAGGAGTACAGATATCAGATATATTCAATATTTTTTATTACTTTGACTTTGAGTTGAATCATTATTCAAGCAAAACAAAAACGCTAGTAAAACATATCAGATTTTTTTGTGGAAATGTCCCCCTGGGGAGCCATAAGCAGAGCCACTTCCATGCCGTCCATGCCGTCCACTCTGTTCTTTCCGACGGATCGCGGATCCCTGGAGACGCGATCTTGTATAACCCAAAGAGCGGACATTCCATTGCGGACCCGTGGCACCGCCCGTGCCCCTCCAACTAACATTAAAATATCTCCCCCGACATCTGTTTCAAATAGTTGTTTGCCTCAAATCTGACTGCCTTTTCACTTTTCGCTTTTGGTTATGTGTGTTTTTTTGTATTTTTTGGGAGCAGTTTCGCAGTTCCTTTGTGCCCCAAGATAAAACATTTGAATTTGTTTTATTTTAAGCACATGCAGAGCAGAGCAGAGCAGAGCAGGCCGGACAGGCAGCCAGAGCTGTTCTGGCACGGGTTTATCACTCGAATGTTTCCCAACACACATTTAGCAAGCGCCGTTTCACAGACCCCCAAAGATGGCAATGGGGGATGGGGGATGGGGGATGCGATAGGGGATGAGGCTGGATCTGAATCTGAATGTGGAGTGAGGCAAACGGATGATGACAACTGCCATCAGCTGTAATCAACTGACATTGAAAAATGTACCAGTATTTGTCCCAGCCTGCTGATGCTGATTAGCCCGCCGCCCATTACGAGCTCAGCCAACTGACATGTTGCGAAACATTCAGATTAGTTTAACAACTGCGCCTTGGATAAAGGGAAGCAGCAGCATTCGCTAGTAATAGTTTTTCCGAAGGCTGACAAGCGGTTGTGATTTGTCACCTGGGGAACTCAGGTCTTCTATGGGCTCAGCTCAGTCCTTCATGCTCGTAGCTTCGGGTTAAATTAAGACTCTGCGGTTACATTATTTCTTGTTTCAGTGTACTTTCCCTTCTTTATACGCTAAATATGGAATATTCGCAGAGACTTCCCTTCCAGCGTCTGCTTCCATATCTCGTCTGCTTCCCAGTGTAGTCGTTGCACTTAATGCAAAAATTCCCTTTTTATAGAATTCAGATCGTTTTTATATGGCGGGCGATCTGTCGATGACGCTTCTTCCGCATAGAATTGATTAACCAAATGTCGCTAAAAGTTTGCCGGATTTCCTAATGGCATTTTCTATATCGTTATTTCGCCTGTGACGGCTCTGGATATTTTTATGCAAATGATGCAAGCATCGGAGTGCCGATTTCCAAGTACTGCGATACATTCTCTGAAGATTCAATTCCTGTGGGTCAATCCGATGGGGATGCCAGTGCATAATTAATCCATGCGGAGTTGATGTGATTTCTCGGAAAGGCAATAATCGAAATAACATTACTATATATATATATGTACATTCAATGCAATGTTATGTAATTGATGGCACACTCAAGAGAAGCTTGATGCCGCTTGCTCTATTTATATGCAGATAGAAGCTGCGTTGAAAGATTGCAGACAAAGGGAATGCAGAGGGATAGTTGAGTCAGGGCAGCTACTTCGGCAGAAGGAATACTTAACTGGAATGCAGAAAGGATCTATTAAATGATTACCCAAGTCAGAGAGAAGCTTCCTGAAGAATGATAGCTAAAGGTCAAGAAATATACATAGATCATTATGAGGGGAAACGAATGTAAATCCCTACGATTATTTATCAATTCAACTGCTCAAGCGGACACCTCCACAAACTAAAAAAAAAACAAAACAAAAAACCAAATTAATTGCAAAATTCCCCCCCTTAATCGCTTGTCTCCGTGCGGCGATAGCCGAAAGTTGCGCACAATCGGGGGACCATCATCAGGGCACCCATTACCATTACCAGCATGGCAATCATAACTACGAGTATCATGATCCGCTACTCAAGTCAGTTGGAGTCGACACTGGTCGCCGTTTTCGACTCTTCAGGGGCGGTAAACTTGCTATCGGTATCAGCATTTTTATGACCTGAGAATCGATTGTATTAAGAGCTATTAAAATATTTTCTAAAACCTGCTATCATATCATTCAATTAGGCAAGAAACGGCTATATATATAGGATCATAAAACAGCATTCGGTCGCCCGATAATGGAAGACTCCGAAGACCAATCATTCTCTCAATTTTTGTCGCTTGCTCTGCTCTCTTTCCCAACACATTAAAGCGCCATAAATACATCAAAATAAAAGTGTCGCACTTGGAGAATTTACGGCACACGGGCAGATAGTGGAAGAAGACTTGACTTGACTTGAATTGGGTGACGGGAATTGGGAATCGTTAATTTTGGGTGTAAACTTGGTCAGATCGCCTGCCACAGATACAGGTAGAACACTTTTGCAGCAGACAAATGTTTTTCGGTGCCACTTCGATTCAATTCGAAGAGCCATAGAGTACGTGTATTCCTTTTGCACAGAGAGAGAGAGACAGAGACAGAGGGAGAGAGAGATAAACGCCAGATAAGCAATGGGATCAAGATTAGGCAGTGGGTTGTGTTCTGTGCACTGGGCTATCAGTGGGGCTATGTGCTTTATAGCAGGTGCCATTGGATACTCTATAAAGCAATAATTTATGAAGTTCCCTGCAGCTACTTGACTTTTTCATCTGCGCGCGCGAGAGAGAGAGAGAGAGAGAGTTGGCAATGTCTATTCCCCCCGAAATATGGGTTAGGTATACAATGGCACCATCCACCCCACATCCAACCCCATCCGAAAATAAAAAGCAAGAGTATAATGTGTATGTGCGTTTCCTGATGATATCATCTATCAGTGGGAACACGTCCCACTATAGTTTTATTGTGCACTTGCTTGTGCTCATACTCGTACACGAGTATTCCAATGCCTCTCTTCTTTATTTCGGATTGCGTTGCTTCATCGACAAATTATCATCATCGACACCCAATGAAAGAGCGAGTGAGTGAGAGGGAGAGAGAGGTAGAAGCCTGAGACGGCACATGCATCGCACCTGATATTTTATGGATTTACAACGCCCGAATTATTCTTCCAATTTCGACAATTTATTACCAAATACACAAACGTTTGACATTTATTTGCTCGTTTCAATACGGGGCTCCATTCGATTCGATTCGGATCGATTCTATTTCACTCGCCAGCGACGTTTTACTGTCCGAAAAAAGCAAAAGTGTTTTCCAGTTCTTGTCGCTTCGATTGCAGACAAATAACCGGCACGGTAAGACCTTGTTGTCTAGATAGAAGTCAATGATAGCCCCGGGCCAAGTCATACCAGGCGTATACGTTATATTGCCATGACAAGACGCTGGGACAGGACGTGGAAGGGCACGGGGAAATGGTAATACTCTTCTGTGTGGAGTTGCCATTCAGGGAAAGTACAAAGGAACTTGTGGGTAAAGTCTCTCCTATCATATCGCAGCTTCTTAAGGTTATTTCCATCTACGCCTTTTCTTGCGTTGCCTTCGACTTGACGCACCTTCTTTCAATCCCCAATTCAATGCGAATTACATGCGAATCAACTACAAAGTTGAGTCGCTTTCTGGGTGGTTTCCAACAGCTTAATCTGAACGACCCAGTAGCCGAGTTTGTCTTTTGTTTACAACATTACGTCAAGGCAGGGCAAGGCAAGGCAAGACAAGGCTTCTCTTTCCGATTATGCCAGAGCCAGTGTCAACAGATCGTCGTTTATTTAGAATACGGTACGAGTATTGTATATGGGAATTTTGTGTCGTCTGGTGAGGGTCTGTCTGGTCGTCTGCTTTGTTTTCTGTCTCTGTTTCTGATCATGGTATATGAGCGGGCTTGGTTTTATCGTCGTGGCTGTCAGTATCTTGTCACTGCTCTATTGTTTATGAGCGTGGCACTTGTCTCACAATTATATTTATGCTTTGGCATGGAATACTCGTTGCGGTCAGAGGCAGATTCAAAATGCGGGAGAAATGATATTCTGTATATATATTAGATATCTACAGAAAGTCTACTTTCAGTCATAGGAATATTTTGTAAGAAAGGAATTTCTGGGAATACTGCAACATGTTGTTCTTGGCAGGATATGTGGAATATATTTCAACAAAAAGATTATAATATTAGAGGACACATATTAATGTTGTATCAAGGACTATACAATACCAAGAAAGATGCTTCATGAGAAACAAATGCCCATTAAAGTTTCGTTGGACGCTTCTCGGTACGGGCGCGCGGGGCTATTTCTGCAATTCTCTTTTAGGCTCTACTACTACTCTGCTACTGGCTTTGTCAATGCTAAATTCTTTGTCGCGGCACAGTGGGGACTCAGCCGAAAAGGGGTTGCACAGGTCAAAAAATTGTATGAGAGCTTTGGATAAAATGATATACAATATATACGCATCTAAAAGAGAATTTTTGTAAGCTTTCAAAAATTTAATTGTGAAGATAATTTTATTTTAGGAGATATAGCAACCAAAGCTTAAAATTGTTTTAGTGTAAGAAAATGTATTGAACTTGATTATTAATTTAGCCAGCTGAATTAGGCGAAGGGCCCACTGTGCGAAAGGCATGCACATGCATGCGCAGACGAAGCCGTCGGGCAGCGGGTTCTAGGTGAGAGACGAAGCATCGCCGAAAAGAGAATGAAACCACGCGCGCTCTCTCTGTCTATGGTGCGTAGCGATAAGAGCAGCTTTTTGGTCGCTCCGGCAGCATCTTGTCTTAG